AATATTGCTGCAGCCCGGTGATAACGGGCGTACGACTAGAGTAGACTACAGCTTCCCCGGTGCTCCAAATATCGCTACCACATGCAAACGCAAATATCCCGTGTACAGAGGGATTACGCAAGCAAGCCCGCCACCCTCGCGAGCAAAACCCAAAAATTTCCATCCTCCTCCTGCCCACACATCTAGATGGACCAAAAATACATGTAGATACATGTGCGCGCAGCATAACCGATCCGAATCTATTCGCGATCAGGAAGGAAAGAGGCTTGCATGATACATCATCAAAGCGCGATCCTTACGAACAACATCCACTGACCTGCAGCGGCGGGGCCTCGGCCAGGAAGTGGCATAGCCCTTGCAGGGTCGCCCGCAGCCGAAAGGAGTCCATCATCGGCTCCAGCATCGCACCCCCCCCCGGCGGCGGCGGCCCCAAGCTCTCGAACCTATCCCTATTGCACCACCACGCGGAACATAAAGCAGCTCAGCCAGAACCCGGGGCCACCTCCATCGCTGCCGGTCACCGCAGCCGCCAGACCTGACAGTCCCGCGGCCCCCTTGATGGAGATGGCCGGCGAGAACGTCTGGGCGTCCTGCCCGTCCGCGCCCGGCCCAACCGGTAGGGCGTCGAGGTCGGACACCGCGTCGACAGCAGTCGAGGCTGCCAAAGGCTCCTCGGATTCGGAGACAGTGCTGTCGACCCCGGTATGGACGGCAACCTCGCCGTCTTCCAGCCCTGCTGCTGGTGCTGCGGCAGCGACGGGAAACGGCATCGTTCGTTCCGACGCGGCCGTTGGAGAACCACCATCGAAGCTTGCTTTCGAAGCAGGGGGTTTCGCAGAATCATTCCCCCGGTGACCACCCGTGCCGCTGTTCGGTCGGCCTCGTTGCTCGTGTCCTTCTCTACAGGAGTCCTCCTGCGGGTCGCGCGCCATGGCCAGGCGGGAGGATATCAGCACCTCCGCGGGGCTGGCGCCCTGGAGCTTGACCCAGCGTTCTTGCTGACGCTGCCCGGCGAGGTCTCGCATGTCGACGATGAACCAGCCCACCGAATCGGAGGTGTCCATTGTGGGGGAGTTGGGGTCGGTGGCGTACACGTGTACCTGGAAACGGTTGCGGTTGGGGGGGATGTTGGGAGCGAAACAAACGAGAGGTGCGAGGGAAGTTGCTGTCGGCCGGAAAGAACAAGAACGCAGGGCGTTTCCAACGGTGGCAGAAGAAGAAACTCTCATGGGATGTTGGGTTCCAAAGGGATTGGTCCGTGTTTGTTTGGCCTCTCTCTGTCCTTGAGCTTCGTTCACTTCGCTGATGCTGTTATGTGGCGTACAACACGGACAGCAGCAGCAGTGTCCAAGCGGGCCCGTGAAAAAAACACATCCACGTTAATTCCTTGCGCGAATTTGTGCGGATGTCAAACTCGCGCTACGGCGAGGGCTGCGACCGACGATGCTCCCCCCGGCAGCACTGACCAAATGTTTGTTCCACCCTCTGGTTAGCTGTGAAAAACTCTGGGAAATCACTGCTGCAAGAACATCCCAGGGTCGGACTACAGCAAAGTCGTCGCTGTTGCTCCAAGGATGCACAACGTTGCTCCACTGTACGAATTCAAGGGACTACTAACTGTGCTGCTATCCTGTTCTTCCTTCACCATGCAATAACAAGTCAAAATAAGTCACATCACCTTGCAGACAGGGGTGTACGCCTTGACCTGCTTGAACTGTTGCTCGGGCAGGCTCCACGACAGCTTGTCCGCGCCCCGCAGCCACATCGCCTGGCGGGACCTCACGCCCCTGCCCCATGCCGAGTTCCCCGTCTCTCGCGTCTCGTTGGCGATGTTTGCCTGCGCTCTCAAGCACCTCCGGTAGTCGACGCTCCCCCGTCCATGCTGATGCCCCTGTTGTTGCCCGTGCTGTCTGAGCGCTAGTTCCCTCTCCTTTTCCTCGTTGAAAAACGACTGCGGGAGGTGTCGCAGCGACCGCACTACCACGGTGATCTCTTGGAGCATCCTCTGCTGTTAGAAGTCTTGCTGCCGCCGAACCGGCAGCACCACCAGCAGCAGCAGCAACAGCAACAACAGCAAGGCAGGCTGCTGTCTTCGTCCCCTGTTCCCTGCGGCTGTTCGGGCCTGATTGATCGTACACATGAAATGTACCCAGATGTTCGGCGACAAGGGGATTGGAACAAGAACGGGGGATGTTCGTCAAGAGGGGGGTATACTGCCGTGGTAGTGCACAACACGAAAGCCTGCACTCCAATCAAAAACAGCTGCTTTCATTTCCATCTAACCTGTGCACACGGTCTTGATTCTCTCTCTCTCTCTCTTGAAGGTTTCACTGTCTCTGAAGGTTTAAGCGACTCCGACCAATGGGTACTGTAAAAACAGATAGATTCTCTGTGCGTGCATACACTACCCTGTGCTGTCGCTCCCAACGGGATAACGGTGAAGGTGCAGCTTACCCTTCCCGTGCATGCGCCTGTCCACAATACGATCCTACAGCAGCAGACTACATAGCCGAAATTCGTGACAGCTAATATACGTCAGTGTTGTCACCGGGTACCGACCTACTTCGTATTCAGTATCGCCGCACGGTTTCGAAGCTAGAATACCAACTGCGTGGACCCCCGTAGCGGGCATTTGTGAAGTGTCGATAGGAATAACCGTAGGATACTCCAAGTTGGTCGCATTTTGGAAACGGCATTTCGAGTGACATCCTGCACAGGTAGAAGGTTAACGTCAACGTACCGTAAACGTGCGGTACGTACGTAACTCCGAAACATTGTACGAGTAACGTCAATGGCTTGACAACCGCTGCGCGTGCATGTTTTGTGCATGTGGGTAGAATTCCGAATCTCCCAACACATCACCTCCGATCACCTCAAACCAGGGGATGAAGATGTAATCGAGTTGTCTGCCAGCAGTTTCCCCGCGCTGGTGGAGTACCCAATACAGTAGGAATTTCGGTCTTACGGGTGACGTGATGTGATGCGTCTCATGAGGGTGCCGTGCCGACAATTACCCTGTACTAGTGTAGTTCAGAGGCTTAGGCTTGTTGTGTCCCAAGCAGCAAAAAGGAGCAAAAACAGAGCCTAGGAAGGTGTCGCAGTACTGCTACTGTAGGCGATAGCCCACACCCAACACCAACGCTGTATTGTACTACCGCGGTATTGTCTAGAGCAAACCGCGAGCATGTGGCGGGGCTATGGCAGCAGTTATGGTCCCTGGAGACTGTTGCTGCGGACGGTCAACCGTTGAGTAATCATTTGGTGGTGTTGTTGTGCTCCTGTTTTTGTTGCCACATTGGCTCTCCACGTACTGCTGTAGTCTGCTGTAGTCTGCTGTAGTCCTCAGCCGTTGCCGAGGGGGAAGGTGAAGCGAGGTACATGTATCTACAATAGAAGGTACGCCTGAGGTTTCGCCGCATTTTTTGGAATGGATGCCGTTGTGCGTTGTGTGCTGCTTGTTGGCGTCTTGGCTTTGGAATACTAAACGTTGCACAAACCGGTACTATTGTAGTTCTGTAGCCGGAGTCGTAGGGTAGTTCTTAGAAGGATGGGCTTCCCAGCGCGAAAAGGTCGCGCGGTGGGTGTTGTCGGCGTTTTCCCTACTTCTCTCCGCTCCTCTCTCTCTCTCTCTCTGTCTCTCTCTCTCTCTCTCTCTCTCTCTCTCTCTCTCTNCTCTCTCTCTCTCTCTCTGTCTGTCTCTCTCTCTCTCTCTCTCTCTCTATTTAATTTCAATTCAAAGTGGACAAAAGATCAACGACATTTTTGCCGTACGTTGAATTTTCACGCCTGTACAGCTTCCACCAGGGTATATCACCAAACTTCGAAACACGCACCTGATTCAGTTGGCAAGTTTCGTCTGTTGAGCGCCTACTGGCAAAGTCCAACCGACCGTTGCGAGTTTGCTGCACAGCGGTTGATGTCGAAGTTGTCAATAGGGGCGCCGCGGTCTGCAGTCGCAGTGGACACAATAACATTGGGGGGGGGGGGGCCAAGGGA